CTGCAGGGTTTTGGAGCAGACCCTGGCTCTCTGTGACCGTCGGGGCCATTGGGGGAGGAGGAACGTCTCTCACCTTTGCAGTGCTGAGAAAAGAGGCGAGAGGATGCTGGCGGTCAGCGCTCACCGAGCGGGGTTTAAAGAGCCCCAGGTTGCCAGAGCCTGATTCCAGACACTATTTTAGTCCCCGTCTCAGAAACGGAGTTTGCTCCATTGTAGCCCTGCCTCATTCTACTCGTGGCTTGGTTCAATAACAGTATCCTTTGGTATATATGGTTGTGACTACTTTCTTCCACTATTTGATCTGAGGAAGTGGGTCTGGCCCACGAAAGCTCATCATCTAATAAACCATCTTGTTAGTCTTTAAAGTGCTACATTGTCCTGCATTTTGCTTCAGTCCCTACAGGGAAGGCAAAGATCTGGACAGAGAGGCATTAACCCTTCCTTTACCAATCCCTTCCCAGTGTCTCCATCTCGTTACGTTTGTTGAACTGTATCTAATTGTGCTCCTCACTGGAGAAGCACGGAGGTGAATGCACTGTGCAGTCAGCTCTTCGGAACGCATTCAGCTGTTCCTGCTTAAGGAAATCTGCAGCTGTATTCCCGCCAGGGCTAGCGTCCCCGACTGAAAATGGGGCTTCGTTTTGGTAGGTGCTGCTCATATGCATACTAAGAACGGGGCCCAGCCCCAGAGAGTTTAGAACCTAAATGGATAAGATGAGAAGGGGAGAAAGTGTTTTACAGATGAGGAACTGAGGCCCGGGGAGATGAGGTGACTTGCCCAAGGATACACAGGAAAGTCGGTGTCAGAGGGCAATAATCCCAGTGCCTTTGCTCGTATGCTCATTGCTGTGTTCCCCAGAATCAGACTGAGAAATGCCACAATAAACTCAGTATAACAGTCTGGAAAGTGCTGCATTTGCTTTCTGGCAGCACTGTGGCCCAGCTGCCAATGAAATGCCCCAGTCAGGCGTGGCTAGGAAAAGGTAAGTTTCACTCTTGTGAAATATTCCTCCCTGGTGCCGTGCCAGACCAGTGCACAAAGGGTCGGCTCTTGCAAGGACTCCAAAGAGATGCGGTGTTAGTTAGCAGTGCTGCCTTTGATAACCCCTCCCTAGCCTAGCTGGACAACCATTAAAGCTGCATTCGTGCTGCCGGCTGAAACCCCGGGGCCAAGAGGTTTGGGAGATTGTTCAGCAGTTTGTTGTTCTTGATTGTGCAACTTGCCACGGCCAGGACATGCTCTGCCATAGGCTGTGTCATATAACCAGCTGAAGGGGAATTGTAGAGGAAGTGCTTAGGAGGTAAATAAGTTTACTTGGGACTGATTCTGAGTGATGCTGAGTGTCCTGCAGCTTCCAGTTGGCTTTAGGGTGTGCGGTGGGTGCCCAGACGCCCTCAGGGTTAAGCCCTTTTTAATTATGTTTCATCTTTAAGTGTCCCTTCTGCCTTTACACTATACATCTTTCACTGTGGTGATGTTAGTTTTTCAGGCTGCTTATGGCTCCGGTCAAACACACACGCCTCATCCAAAGGGCGTTGGAGAGAAAATCCTTCCCAGTTTGTTTCTGCATCTTTGATTATGAAAACAAGCAGCATTTAAACATCCTTTTTGCTTTTTGTTCTTTTACGTTGCCTGCCCCACGGGCAGCTGTTACTTTGTTCACCATGGGCCTGGAGTCCAGGCCTGCCGTGTTTCCCGGACTGGCGCAGACCCCTCCTGGGCTCATGGGGCAGTAGAAGATTCGGGGGAGGAATTTTCAAAAGGACCCGCATTGACCTAGCTCAGCTTCCACAGAAATCAAGGGCAATGTTCCCATTGATTTCAATGGGAGCCGAGGTAGGCCAGGGCAGACACCTCTGAAAATCCCACCACCCAATTTTAAAAAGAGCCTGAAAAAGTGTGTGAGTCCAAATGTCACTGCCAGAACTTGGGTCCATTTTGGTTGTTGCAAACTGCTCCCTGTCCTGTAATGCAGCCTGTGTTGAGCTTTGGCTGAGTCAACAGACCCTTGTGTTCGCCTAGCTCCCATAAACAGGAGAATCTCGAGTCTGTGACTTCAAAAACAACGAGTCGGCCTGCGGCACTGTAGAGACCAACCAAAATATATAGAAGTGGGCAAAGCCCCCTTCCTCAGATGAATGAGAGTGGAAGTAACAGAAACCAAGAGTGATATATAACAGCAGAAGAAGTACCTGTCAATCACAGGGCCTGTGCTAACGAGGCTAATTAAGTGAGCTGGATGCATCCCATACATAGCTTTTCATGTGGAAATGCAGATGTTAAAGGCCAGAGAAATTGGCTTTATAATGCACCAGCCAGTCCATGTTTTTCTTGAAACCCAGGGTAAGGTGTCAAATCGGCAGGTGAACTCCAGTTCTGCAGACCCGCTCTGGAATTGGTTAGTGAAACTCCTTTGCAGCAGGATGGCTGCTTTGAAATCTGTGCTGGAGTGAGCACCCGGGCAGGGTAAAAAGTTCCCCTCCCGGTTTGTGTGTGTGCCCATGTCTGGTGTCTCATTGGTGCCCAGGTATCCTTTGGCGCAGGGACTGTCCGGTGTGGTCGATATCCCTGGCAGAGGGGCACTGCTGGCACTTGCTGGATAGACCCCATTGGAGCATGTCAGTGGTACGCACCCCTGATGTGATGGCTGATATGGTTAGATCCTGTGCTGGTGTGGCTTGGATAGTCCTTTGGCCAGTCTTGCGCAAGACTGGCTAGTGTAGATGTAGCCAAACAGGAGATTGATTTGAAAGCTCTGGAGGAAGGGCCGCCTCTGTTTCCCCTTGGAGATCACTGGCTGCAGCAGGGGCAAACCTGAAATCTCACAACCCACCTCTTCTCTCGTTGAAGCAGGTTCCTCAGGCCTGTAAGTCCACTGACTCCACCAGGCCTTCCCCTGATCTACGCCGCGGTTAGCTCTTCTGACAGGCTCCCTGCTCAGTAACCGGCTCTCTCTGATCACAACCACCCCGGGGGCAGGTCTGCAAACAGCGAGTTGCCCTTGATTAAACAACTTCACGGTCCAACTAGTTTGGGGAGTTCTGACCGACTTTGTTCCGGTTCTAAAATGCTGCTGGAGCAAGCTCTGAATGTACTGACCTCTCCTGGGAGGTCTGTCCGGTCAGAGTAAATCTGTGTGGGAGGGTTTTCCTCAGTCGTTTCAATCTCTTTGGACTCAGAACAACCGGACAAAGCCGAAATGGGGAGATGGGATTGGCTGAGCTGTGGGATTTTCCAGCTGAATTTACATATCACCCACTTCTCTGCATGCCTTTCTGTTTACATCACGAAGAGCCAGCAATACACACAGACAGGCACGTAGATAGTGGAAGAGACATTTTGAAAGAGTAAAAGTCTGGCCGGAACTGAAGCACTTTGTCCTGGGAGCTGCTTGCCAAGCCTTGCGTCTCGCTTCCAGCTCAGACAGGCCTGGGTGGCTTCCACGCAAGGTAAAGCATTTTCCCCGTGTGAGGCGCAACCTGTGCGTGGCCACAGAGTTTCTTCAGCTGTTGTTTTTTAATCCTAACTGACAAGTGAGGGACGTGAAGGTGCTGTTGTAACCCTGTGCGAAGCGTAGGGAGGAAGCTGGGTGGAGCTGAAAGTCAAGTCTGTGAAGTGGATGTGACTCGTCACCTGTAAGGAAATGCGATACAGTAAGGTCGGATTGTGTCGTTAACCCTTTCCTGTGCAGGGACCAGGGGACTCTGTATTTCCAAAATAGGTCGCCAATACTAAGGAGATCTCAGCTACTCTTAAAAAAATGCTGCTCCTTGTAAAATCCTCTGTGTTATTTAAAGGAAACCTGTGCCTGGTTCGTTACTATGGGGTTGGTACATTTTCTAGCTGAAAGCTGCTACGAGATTGCCATGCTTGACTTTGGAAAGCACCATTGTCACAAACTGTATCTTCAGAAATCAGGGGGCCTGTCTCAAGTATCAAAGTGCCTGGGGCTCCTAGACCTCTGCATGACTACCTGTTGCAGCCCGTTCCAATCCATGCCGTCAGTCGTCTCTACAAAATCAGCCTGTTTCTTGTGCTCGGATGCGAGTTGAAAGTTTCTCAGCGGTTGTGAGAGTTGATTTGCCTCGCAGCTGATTGGTTTTGTTTTAAGCAGCAGGGTTCAGGGAGATGCTAGTGACGTGAGCAGACGACGGAAACGCCCTGAAATTGTTCTCTGGAGTGACATTTCTAGTAATGGGGCAGTAGAAGGCATGTTTCCGATGAGTCTTTAAAGCACACCAGTAGCAGCCAGTAGGGAAGCTAAATTGCGATTTAATCAACTAATCGACTAGTTGACACAATATCCATCAACTAATTGATTAGTCGATAAGCGGGCGAAACTGTGGAGCCACAGTGGGGTTGGCTTCTGGCCCTGGGACCTAACCGCACTGCGGCTCTGTCTTTTAAACGTATTAAGAGCCGGCAGAAGCGCAGTGCGGGGACCAGGCACAAGCTGGGAATCAGCTGATTCCTGGCTCACACCTGGTCCCCTGCTACGCCTCTGCTCCCCGTGGAGATGGTGCTGGGGGGAACCAGCTTTTAAGCCAGCCCCCCCAGCCCCGGCTCCTGCTCCCCTCCTTGCTGCCTCTGATAGAAGCTTATGCTTATCGGCTAGTCGACTAGTCGCTTACGTCCCTAGCACCCAGAGCACGGGTAAAGCAAGCAATCCCATTTCAAAGGGGTGTAAAAAAGAGACACGACATCTGTTTGGGTAATGACCATGGCTCGTGTTTCCCGGAATGCCAGAAGAGTCTTCCAATGGAATTGCTGGCCCCTGCCAGAGGAACGCAGCCCCCATTAGGCTGCTAACAGCCAGCAGCAGCAGTGGGCAACGATTTAGGAAAGGAGGGAAAGAAGACACGGTCATGCAGTGGGGTGCGTTTTAGGAAGGGGAATGTAATGTGCTGCTTTTCGTGTTTGAGGGGGAGGCGGGTGTTCTGCCCCTCGGCAGCAGTTCCCTTGGTAGGGACAAGAATTTCTTCAGTAACGTATTAAACTGTACCACTGGGCATTTGGCTGCATTTAAATCCCATTGCAATTCGAGGGAAAGATGGCGTTTAAATTCACAACAACCGGTGGATTTGCTTGACTGGGGACGGGCTTCTGTTCAGCTGCTGCTTTGCCACATTGTGCTGCCGTGAAGTATTTGGAGAGCCGGTGTATGAACTACGGGAGCTGGGCAAATGGGACGTGTAGAGGAGGAAGGCAGGGTCTGTTTGTACAGTAGGTTCCTGGGTCTGTTATCACAGCTTCTGAGCTGGGCAGCTATTGACATCCTCCAGAGTCGGCCGCTGTGTATTGCTTGTGCACGTGGGCAAATCACTGGGGCTGAGCTTTGGATGGATGCCTCCACAACCATGGTTCTGCTGCAGGATCTCCCCGCTGTGCCTTGCTTTACTCCACCTGTGAAATGAGAAGAATACTTCCCTACCTACTTCTCTGCGGCATGGGGAGGCTCAGCTAATACATCTCCCGAGGTCTGAACGTGCTGTGTTCACATTCTCAGTTCTCCCGTAAAGCACCAAGTTGAGCATTAGGGTTTGTTTAATTATGGTAGTGGGCTGGGGTGGTCGGTAATAGGCCTGTCGGGCATTTCTCTGGAGAGTCCTTGGTAACTGAAAATGGCTTCAGATTTTTAAAGGTGACTTGTGGGAGCCATTAGTGCCAATTGCAGCACAACTTAATTCTCATCTGCTTTTTCAGTGTAATCTCTTGTAGTCAGGCTCTGGTTTTCAAGTCCTGCCTTCTTAGAATCATAGAATACTAGGACTGGAAGGGACCTCGAGAGGTCATCAAGTCCAGTCCAGTTGCCTACTCTCATGGCAGGACCAAGTACTGTCTAGACCATCCCTGATAGACATTTATCTGACCTGCTCTTAAATATCTCCAGAGATGGGGATTCCACAACCTCCCTGGGCAACTTATTCCAGTGACCACCCTGACAGTTAGAAAGTTTTTCCTCATGTCCAACCTAAACCTCTCTTGCTGCAGTTTAAGCCCATTGCTTCTTGTCCTGTCCTCACAGGTCAAGGAGAACAATTGTTCCTCCCTCCTCCCTGTGACACCCTTTTAGCTCCCTGAAAGCTGTTATCCTGTCCCCTCTCAGTCTTGAATTAATGGAGATTCCCTATCTCATAGGACTGGAAGGGGCCTCCAGTCCAGTCCCCTGCCTTCACAGCAGGACCAAGTACTATCCCTCACAAATTTTTGCCCCAAATCCCCTCTGCAAGGATTGAACTCACAACCCCAGGTTTAGGAGGCTAATGCTCAAACCACTGAGCTAGCCTTCCTCCCCAAACCTGCTACTTCCCAAACTAAACAAGCCCAATTCTTTAAGCCTTCCTTTATAGGTCATGTTCTCTAGACCTGTCATCATTCTTGTTGTTCTTCTCTGGACCCTCTCCCATTTCTCCACATCTTTCCTGAAATGTTTCGGAACTGGACACAAGACTCCAACTGAGACCTAACCAGCACAGAGTGGAGCGGAAGAATGACTTCTCGTGTCTTGCTCACAACACACCTGTTAATGCCTCCCAGAATCATGTTTGCTTTTTTTGCATCACACTGCTGAGTCATATTTAGCTTGTGGGCCACTCTGACCCCTAGATCCCTTTCTGCCGTGCTCCTTCCTAGACAGTCGCTTCCCATTCTGTGTGTGTGAAACTGATTGTTCCTTCCTAAGTGGAGCACTTGGCATTTGTCTTTATTAAACTTCATCCTGTTTACCTCAGACCGTTTCTCCAATTTGTCCAGGTCATTTTGTATTATGACCCTATCCTCCAGAGCAGTCGCAGCCCCTCCCAGCTTGGTATCATCTGCAAACTTAATCAGCGTACTTTCTATGCCAATATCTAAATCGTTGATGAAGATATTGAACAGAGCCGGTCCCAGAACAGACCCCTGCAGAACCCCACTTGTTATACCTTTCCAGCAGGATTGAGAACCATGAATAACTACTCTCTGAGTACGGTTAGCCAGCCAGTTATGCACCCACCGTATAGTAGCCCCATCTGAGTTGTATTTGCCTCTGCGGTTGGGTCATTGTCTTACTAGTGAGAGGTGCAGGACTGGGCTGTTAGGATCTAACTTTATAAAAAGGCCCTCGCGCTCCCCAAAAGGGGTCGGTACAGGATCCAGGATACGACCACACTGCCTATAGACGTGGAAGTGAATCAACCTGCTTTCCCGGCCTCTCCGAAAGACTTGGCAGTAGCTCAGCCTGGAGTGAGGGTTGCTGCAGGAATCACTTGGGGAATTTTCTGGATGATTCAGCTTCACAGCCCCCGTCAGGCAGGTATTGTTAGCCCCACCTTCCACATGGAGAAACTGAGACCCAGACAGATGAGGTGACTGTCCCGCAGCCCCCCAGGCAGAGCCCGTGAATCTGGTCTCCTTCGTGCCTTGCCCACAAGGCTGGCCTGGCCCACGTTCACACCAGTCAGGGGTTGGCTAGATCATAGGGACACTCCTCTGACAGCGGTGGAGAGGCAGATTCTCCCCGGCAGAGTATGTGTCCCTTTGGCAGCGCGGTGAAGCTAAGACAGCACTGGCCTATGCTCTGCAAATCGGATTGCAGCTCTTGGGCTGCCTGTGTCCCTAACGGCGGAGGAGAGCTCTGCTGAGCCCTGGCGCGGGACTCTGTTCAACGCACCCCACTTCGGGGTCTGCAGTTCTTTAGGAAGTAGAGAAGATGTGATATTCTCGGAGGAATTCGGAGCTCCCGAACCCCCCTCCTGCTTGGTAACCCACCTTTCTATAGGACGAGAAGTGTTGTGGCACCTTTGAGACGAACAAAAATATACATCTAGTAGCACAAGCTTTCGTGGGCAAAACCCACTTCCTCCACTGAGCAGGGGGAAGCCAGTTCTCCACAGATGGCAACTTTTCCGCTGTCCGTCAGACAAGGTTTTTTGGCCTGGAAGCAAAACACAACCCACCCATTCTTAATGCAGCCCGGCAAGTAGGGATGTAAAATCCCGTTGACTCAGTTTACCAGTAAATCGTTACGTTTAGCCTGTTAGCCACTGGAGAGCCGACACCTCCACTCCTATGGGCGGGGCTGCTTGGGCTGGGCCCACCATGGACAGCGACTGCTCCGGCCAGACTGGAGTAACCAGTAAGCATCCGGGTAAGGGTGATGCTCTCCACTTAACTGTTCACATCTCTCCTGGTAAGGTGGCAAGAGTTCAACCCATCAAAGCAGATTCTGCATGGACTAACTGATCCCCCAGGAACGGACTCAGGGAAGAGTTTTGCATATGAAGGAGAACCATGTAGTTACTACTTCTCCATCATTGGGTCCTCCACTCCAAGTGCTGCCGCCCCTTTCCTGGCCCAGTGTGCTTGACTGTTGGACCAATTGACCATTACTCCACTCTGGTGCTCTCCCTCTGCCCGGCAATCTCTTTCCTGGGTGATGTGCAGCTAGACTAAAGAACATGTCCCCAGCTATGACCGACGTGGCAGGAGCAAACCTTTGTGATTTGTGCCATTGAAACGCCTGCGACTAGTGAAAGAAATTCCACACCCTCTGGGGCTCACGCAAGATACGACAACAGGCACGCCCACACCATCCACACCACCATTACGCGCGCGCTGTGCATTGCCCGCGTTCTCCACCAAGCAGCCCTGCTCGGTATGATGCCTCCAGTGCAGCCATTGCAGCAGCATGAGAGATGACTCCAGGGAAGCTGGGAGAGAGCAGGAAGAAAAAGACACGTATGGGCCAGTCAGCGCAGAAGGTTGGGAGGTGGCTGCAGATTCTGTGGCAAATCCCACGCGCTGTGCAGTAGGAGGTGTTGCAGAAATAGTTCTTTCTCCAGTGCAGTCTGGGTCTGGTAGGTTTCTGGCCTGCCCCATGCCCCAGTGGATGTATCATTGTGATCCAGACACAGCACGTGAGTTGTCATGTTGACCCGAAAAGAGGAACCTAGAACTGTACTCATGTAGGAGGATAGAAATATTGGGGGAGTCCCTTCCTTGAGGTAAATGACTCTTCCTAGACATAGGTTTCCTGCATCTATTTCTGTCATAAATAACCCGTCCCGGTGAGGATACAGCACTTTTGTGCAGCGCTCGGGGAACTCTGCCACTGAAAACAGGGACACCCCTGGAAGTGAGAAGTTTCACCAGTCACGCTGCCTTGTAGGCTGGCGCAAGAGAAGCCAAAGGCTAAATTGGCCATAGGGAAAATGCTTCCTTCTTGTTTAGTTGCTCCTCTTGGGTGGAGTTGAGGCATCTTGCCTTGGGAAGGGCAGAGTTTTAGGCGGGTTCCTATTTGCAGCAATTCTGGGACCTAGAATTGCGGGGTGAGTACCTGAATCCAGCTCACCCCTCTTGCTGCTTACAGTCACAGAATCCTAGAACTCTAGAACTGGAAGGGATCTCGAGAGTCATTGAGTCCAGTCCCGTGCCCTCACGGCAGGACCAAGCACCGTCCAGACCATCGCTGATAGATGTCTGTCTAACCTGCTCTTAAATATCTCCAGTGATGGAGATTCCACAACCTCCCAAAATTTATTTCAGTGCAGTTTTTTCCAGTGTTGAACCCCCTGACAGGTAGGGAGTTTTTCCTAATGTCCAACCTCAACCTCCCTTGCTGCAGTTGAAGCCCATTGCTTCTTGTCCTGTCCTCACAGGTCAAGGAGAACAATTTTTCTCCCTCCTCCCTCTGACACCCTTTTAGCTACTTGAAAGCTGCTATCCTGTCCCCTCTCAGTCTTCTCCTTTCCAAACTAAACAAGCCCAGTTCCTTCAGTCTTCCCTCACAGCTCATGGTTTCTAGACCTTTAATTATTTTTGTTGCTATTCTCTGCACTTTCTCCAGTTTCTCCACATCTCTCTTGAAATGTGCTGCCCAGAAGTGGACACAAGACTCCTAATCAGCGCAGAGTGGAGCGGAAGAATGACTTCTCGTGTCTCGTGCTTACGGCTGGTCGTGTGCTCGAATGCGAGGCCGGTCTGACTGCTTCCTCTTTTTCTAAATTGTCTCTTGGTAGAAACCGGGAAGCTGCATTAAAAAATAAGTCGCAGGGCAGAGTAGCTCTGTGGATCTGGATCTGGCCAGGCTGGCTCGCTGTCCTTTTGGGGCTGCTCCTTTCGAAGGTACGACCTCGAGGCCTTTGCCACAAGCCATGGCACCCGGCCACAGGAAATATTTATCTTTCCAGGGCTTTCCGGTGCAAAATGGAGCGTCCCTTTCCCTGCGGCAGTTGGACTGGCTCCTCCCTGCCCACGTGGGAGCTGACCGGTAAAGTCCTGGGTTGGAGAACTCGGAGAGCGTCTCCAAAACTGAGTCTCTAGGGCCTTTTCTGTGGTGCTGTGAGGGGAGGCTGTAAGAGTGGGCACCTAAGGCCATTGCTGTTCTAAGCAGCTGCAGAGGACGCCGCAGAGCCAAGGATATTGCTATTCCTTGGGCCTGGCCTGGCGCACCACAGATGGGGGGCTCCAGCCCAGCTGGAGCAACCCCCCGCCGCAGCACACCTGGGCTGGGCCTGTTGCGGACAGGGGCTGCTCCAACCAAGCTGAAGCAGCCCCTTCCCCTCCCCCCACCCCATTTAATCAGTTAACTGGTTGAACAGAACATTTAACCGGTACATGAGAGGGGATTTTCTATCCCTAGTAGAAACCCAGCCCAAAGACAGCTCCTGCCCCAAGCAGCGTAAATTGATGGAGTGCAGATGCAGCATTTACAGGCCTGGAAGCAGAAGTCCTGAGCGGAAGCTGCCAGAGCCAGGATCTGTCTGTTCCAGTCTCTCCGGACCAGAACTACATGCACTGACCAGATCTGCAGGAGCTGCCTCAGCAGCTGTTTCTCCCTGTCTATTCTGCCCTGAACTAGGAGGGTTCCACTCTGTGTTCAGTTTCCTTGTGGGAAACCCTCACCACACACAGCGGCACCACTGCAGATGGTGAAATTTGCGAACACTGAGCAGGGGGCAGCTCCCGGCCCCCATGGTGAGCTCCCTGCACCTCCCGAATTCACACAGGGGCCCGGGAGCTGTGGGGGGGAGCATAAACCCAAAATGATGCCTTGTGCCATAGAAAGATTTACACAGCGCAAGCTCCTCAAAGTGGAGGAGGATCTGCACCGTTCTCCCTCCTCCCCCAGGTACGAATTGCACAAAGGGTTCGGGATAAACAACATTTTCGTTTGTAATTAATTAACTTGGTTTTTAAGTGATTATAAGGGGAGCAAATGGAACAAAGCCGATTAGCGAGCAAGGTAAACGTGCAACCTAAGCTACATTCACAAAAGAAACTGGTCACACATACTCATTCCTCGCCCTAAACGTTGCTTTAGGCGGGTTGCTGAGTTCCTGCAGCTTAGAGTTCCAGGGATTTCTCGTCACAGGCTAGATCCCTGTTGCACCCAGGGCACCAGGCCTTTCTTCCCTAGAGTACTGTTAGATCCTCAAAGCTGTCACCCTGGGTGGGGATTCAGCGAAGCATCCGCAACCAGAATTAACGCGCTCCCCACCCTTCAGTAAGATTCCATATGGCGAGAATCTTTTATTTCCTGTTCGGTCCCCACCCCCGTCACTGGGAAAGTACCCGCTCAAGATGCCGCCCTGTCTGAGGTGGCATGATCACATGACCGGGCACTGTTCATCCTATATACTTACTGCCACTCTCCACCCTAGAGGTGGCTGCATTCCTGGGGGGTGCTGTTTGAACAGAGTGTTGGTCTGACGGCAAACAGAATTATTCTCTCTCATACTCAAGGCATTCGTGCAAGGGGCTGCTGCTCGCTCTTCCTCCTTCAGCTCCTCCGAGTGCCGTTCCTTTGCAGAGACCCAGCTAATCCTTCGGCTCCATTTAAGGCTGAGCTGTCCCATAGCCTTCGAAGGAAGGCGGGGCTAGGGGAGAGAGGGAGAAAGCAGCAAAGGCTCTGCCGTGGGGGACTGTAGCAAGTGGGCCTGGGAGAAAGCAGCAAGCGGGTGTCAGTGGGGAAGGAGGGAGAAGGCGGGGCAGGAAGCGGGTTACTGGAATGGGGAGGAAGAGGCTCAGCAAGGGAAGATGAAGTAAATGATCCTGCAGAGAGTATCTCTGTGCGACTCGCGTGGTGTCGCTGGGCGCTGTCTCCCCAGGGCAGACGGCTGCGGTCCGACCTGTCTGTCCGCTCCTAAAGCATTAAGCCTACGTTTTCAGTAGAAGCTAATGATTTGGGGCGTCTCGGGTTTTGGGTGACCAACCTGAGACCTGCAGAGACCTGATTTGAAGAAAGGGCCTTCTCGAGGGGAGAAGGGGGGGATCCAACTCCTTTAAGGCCCTGGAAGTTAGTGACGCAAGTTCATTATCACTCTTGGCAATCCAGGCCTGACTTGGCGTAGCGAGTCGTCTGTGTGTGCGTGCCAGATCATGTCAGAGAGCTGATGCAGGGCCTGGGAAGCGGGGGGGACCTTCTGACACCCCTGCCTCGCCCTGCATGAGTGACCCAGCCTCCAACTTTTTCTCCTTCCTCCAGAGCAAACCTCCCATGACTAATACATGCGGATCTAGATTATGAGCTCAAACAAGAGCGCTCGCTACAATCGCTTCTCCAGTGGCGCAGCAAACATCACGACTTCTGACAACACTAACGGGGTAAGCGGAGCAGGGGCCGGAAATAGGGAGTGGGGGGTGTTTCGGGCCTCTTCTGCCCTCCTTTTTGTGTGGACAAAATAAAGACGGGTGAAAGTTTGCCCATTAGGGCAGCAGTGTCCACAGATAAAACCGTTGGAATCTTCCTGAGTACTGTACCCAAACTGGGCTGAGTAGCAAACCCCAATCCCGCAAGGTCAACCCATGATGCCGTTATTTCTGCCTTGGTTTCAGACGAGAATGGAAACGACTTTTGGGCCTGCCTATTCCACGGTGACCACCATCACGAAGGGTGAGTGTCCCATGGCCTCGGAGCCTCTGGCCCATACCACATTTGCAAATATTCGTTTATTTCTTGTGTGTTACAAAATAACTGGCTACTCGCCCCAAATGCATAACTTGCAACACCCAAGCCCATACTATTTAGTAACTCCTTCATGAAAACAACTCAGCCTTCAAAATAAATTTCTGTTCGGACAGAATATTTTTCCAAAGCCAAGGAAAGGAAACTTAACCTGACAAAGAATTACAATCTTAAAAAAAAAAAAAAAAAAAAAAGGGCCCCCCCCCGCTCTGAACCCTCCTCTGCTGCACAGAGAGCGCAGGGAATCACAGCGAGTCCCTGCACGGTCACCGAGGGACACGCAGCGAGACGTGTGCTCTGGACACATGTGGTCCCAGCGCCCGCTAGGGGCCTGGTCAGCAGGCAGCACGGAGATAAGTGGCCTCGGAAGCGCTTTCCCATGAATCACTCTTCGTTATCTGCATCTGTTACACCCCCAGTGCCCCTCCCGAGCTCTGGGAGTTTCCATCCTTGCTCTCCGCCTGAATGGGAATGATTTTGGACAGGTTGAGCAAAATCCCCTTGAGCTGTCTTGAGTTCAGCAAGGACGGGGATGCAGGGGGAAGACAGCGATGAAGTGCACAGGGTCCAAGCCAGGGAGTCCCCAAGCAACCAACAGTCCCTGTGAAGTAGGTCCCCCAAAGCCACCCCGGCCCGCAGAATTCCTCGTCCGCTTTGCTTGGGAAGCCGGCAGCTTTCTCCCTTTCCCTTGGGCATCGGGCAGGAGCCGCGTGCTGGAATCATAAGGCCCTTGAGTCACGCAGGCGACCTTACCATTAGCAAACAAAAACCAAGGCCCAGCTGGTGTCCGGGGGCCTGCAACTCCCAGCATCCCCTGAGTGCTCAGCTTCCGTTTTTCACTTCCCATGCCCAGTACTGGGGCGGGGCAGGACCCTCCTTGATTGCCCCCCTGCTGTAAGCCCCAGACTGTCCCTTAAGGGGGGTTGTACCACCCCGCCTCACAGGGCTCCAGCCAAACCGGAGAGGAACGTGGCCTGTAGCCTCACGAGGGGCCAGTGGCTTCGCTTGCCTTGACACGACTGCTTTTGATTTACCAAAGCTGAGACTCCCACAGGTGAAAACGACGTGGTGAAAGGAACACCCACGTTGCCATGCATACTGCCATGGGGGCAGAGTTAAGGTTACACTCGCCACTGTACCTGGGTCATTGCCTGACTTCGGAGTAGTTACATTTGCAACCTCAGTAGCAGTCTATAACAAGCTGATCTTTTGGGTACTACAGCCTCCCTGGTGCCCAAGGAACAGCCAGACTGCCCCTGTTATAAGCCATGTACCGTGTGGCAAGATGGGGACTCCCTTTTAAGACTATTTTAAGCCTACGGCTCTGTTGGAATCGCTAGCATGAGTGGAATGTCCGTTTCTGGCGGGGCTGGCTCCCCTGAGCACGCTTGGCTCGAGTACTGGTGATCCAGTATTGCTGGTGCTGCCCTTCCTGGGGCCTTGGGGCAGTGGGGAAATCCCGGTTCCTTTTCTTTCGCTTGTCCAAAGTCTTCCCACAGCTCCCCCCGGGGCCCCGTCAGCGTTGGGCAAACCCAGGGCATTGCAGAGAGCCCTCGCTCGTTAAAGGTGCAGCGAAAACCCCCCATGTGTGTCTTTTGCTTTCAAGCTGATGGGACCAATACCTTTAAGCAGCACCGCAGGACGCCCTCCTCATCCAGCACACTCACCTACTCCCCGCGGGACGAGGACGATGGCATGGTACGTGTTTAACGGGTGACCTTTCTGGGGAGTTACACCAGGAGGGCATTGTGTGATTGCCCTGCACCAGGTGAGTCGCTGTCCGGGCGTGGGCAGGACAGGGCAGTCGGCACAGCCGGGCCTGGCTGGCCTTTGCTCGGTGGGGAGGAGACAGAGCGGTGCAGGCGGGGCGGTGGGTCAGTACGACTGGCAGAGAGGTGATGCTGCTGCCTCGGGTGACCTTTCTGGGGAGTTACACCAGGAGGGCATTGTGTGATTGCCCTGCACCAGGTGAGTCGCTGTCCGGGCGTGGGCAGGACAGGGCAGTCGGCACAGCCGGGCCTGGCTGGCCTTTGCTCGGTGGGGAGGAGACAGAGCGGTGCAGGCGGGGCGGTGGGTCAGTACGACTGGCAGAGAGGTGATGCTGCTGCCTGAAGGTCAGTCGCAGAGGCAGGGCTGGGACTCGGCCTTTATGCTGTCCACCGGGG